AGCGTAAACCTTTCGTATCATTTGCTTCATCCATTTACGAAGAGAAGAAGCGTGAAAAATTAGAAAATAAATATTTGAACAGTACATTACATTAAACAAACAATGGTAAAATTATAACTAAACCAAACCCTAAAATTTAACATATAACTTAAACGCAATGAAAGCGCAAGTTAGGCGTAACCATACCTCTTCCGGATTGATGATCTTCTACAGTCTCGTCGTCTACCTCCGACGGGAATAAGCTAATGCACAACCGAAGGTATTGGAGAAATCCGAGAGCGCTTACCAGAGCTGGACTAACAGTGAAAATGTCGCTTGAAAATAGCTTACGCGGCGTTTCCATTCTTTATTTTCCAGAATTCAAATGAAATGTGTTATCGGGTCGGGTCGCTAACTCTGACAAGACATAAAGCAAACATATTAAATTAAAAAAAGCCTAACAGATGTCGCATTTCTATTGGAGACCGAACGGAGAGATGGCTTCGGTCACTTGACCCAATAATTTGCCCATTTGATCACACAATCCTTTCATTCTACCCGTCACGATTCATTCGTCTTGGTTCACTATTCATGCGACCGAAACCAAAGCAAGAGAGGAGAGGAGCTGACGGTTGTGAAGACGGAACATTCGATGAGAGAGACGAGTTCGGTAACTCTTCTTCCGCTCCCCCATTCTATTCCTTTTGGTCATTTTCCTCCTCTCCATCTTCTTCCTCTCCATCTTCTTCTTCATCTCTATCTTTCACTTTCTCACATCAACCATTAAAGAACAAGAAAAGTTTTTCTCAACCTTATTTTTCATAACCTAGATTTTCAACGAATTGATGGATTGGAGTTTTTTTGTTCTTGTGATATGATATTTGTTCTTTATTTTTTAAAAGAGAAATTATTGCCAGGATTTCCAATGCTCGTTTTCGCTTAAAATTGAAAATGGCAAGGTTAGTTTTCCTTGTGCTCTTCCTTTAGAGATTTCAATGTTTGAGGCTTTCGGTTTCAGATTTAAAAAAAAAAAAGAAAAAAAAAAACTAAGTTGTTTCTTGATGAGTTTTTGTCATCTAAATCTGGAAATAATACTTTGAAGCACATTGGTGTTGGCAGTAGTTTTTTTTTTTAATGTTTTCTGAAATGCAAAAAATCTTCAATTGGTTCTATTTTCTCAAAAAAAAAAAGTGTTGCAGTTTTATTCTTTCAATTGAGGAGTTATTCTCCTTCTCATTCTTCTCACAAATGGTTGCACCTATTTTTGTTTGATATAACTGCATTGTAGCTGCACCTCTTTCTCTTTTCTTTGATATAGTTTCGATGGTGAAAAGAATAGTGGTTACATGTCTTCGTTGTTTTTTTCTCTTAATCTTGTAAATAAGAGATAGGTAATAAGGATTGTTATTATTTAGCAAAGGAATGGTGTTGACATTTTTGAAATCAAGAATCAAGATAAATTTATTTCTCAACCAAAAAAAAGATATCATTCTTTATTCATTTACTTGAAATAATCAGAAATAAGAGAACGAGTTTGCATTTCTTTGTCATGAAATGGATCTCCTATGGAATGAACTTTTTTTTTTGAAAGGCGATTTGGATTATTCTTGAATGATTCTCCCTTTAAAAAAATTTTGAGGAGATCTATATAGTTTTTTTTATATAATAAATGGATGCATTGTTGGTTCGTGTTGGGCTTCTTTTATTTTTGTCCATCATTTTCTCTTTGAGAAGAATATTTTTTTGAACTATCATCGAATGTGAGATTCATTCTTATGACATGAGATTTTAATTGCAAAGTTCTTTCTAAGAGCATGAGAAGAAATTTTTGGAAGAAGGGTTACTACAAAGTTTGGGTTGTTTCTAAATTTTAACATTGGCAAAATTCTTAGTATAATTAGTGATGGTTAATCATCTTGTAGATTTAGAAATTTGAAAGAATGTTTGTTCTCGAATTTTTTTTTTATTGTCATTGTTATCCTAGTTTTATGAAACTTCCTTGGTTGTTGTGAGAGTTATGTTTAGCTTCTGCATTTGTTGATAAAGTAGCAAAAAAGATTAAGGTGGGAATATGCCCGAGTCATTAATTATTCTTTGTAAGTTGATTCCTACATAACTTCTAGCTTTACCATTTCTTGTGGTTATTTTTGGAAAGAGCCGTAAAAGATTCTATAGACAAATTTCATGATTAGTTTTGTAAGGCTCCAATGCAAATGCTATTTGCTTCAATATTGTCTTTTACATAAGTAGATGGAAAGTTCGGTAGATATGTGGGAAGCCTTCTTGAATAATTATTGGATGGGTATGAAGTGGGTATAATTCTCCGTTCTCCTCTCAAATGAAAAGTGAAATATGTTTGACTTGAAAGTGAAATATGTTTAAGTTGAAAAGTAAAAGTGGGATGAAGTGTATTACTTTGTGAAAAGTTGAGAAGTGAGTATGTATTTTGAAAAGTGAAAATTTTATGTTTAAGTAAAAAGTGTAGTGTGTGATCTTTGATTAGTGAAGTGTACATTTTGAAATGTAAAATGTGTGTATAATTTGGAAAATTATTGTGCTGGGAAGGTGAAAAGTAAAGTGTTTGTATTTTGAAAAGTTATTTATATATTTTGAAAAGTGGAAAAGTGTGTTTTGTGAAATGTGAAAGTTTTGGCGTTGAAAGGAAAAGTGTTTTGAAAAAAATGTATCGAAAAGAGAAGTGTTTTGAAAAGTGTTTGTGTGAGAAAATTAAATGTTTTGAAAAAAAGCTTATGTTAAAAGAGAGGTGTATGTTTTTGTATGGTAAAAGTGAGTGACATTTGGGAAGTTACATGAAAGTGAAGTGTATGGTTTAAAAGGTAAATACTTTTGATGAGTATGTTTTTCGAAAGGTTAATTTTATATGTTTTGGAAATGAAATTGAAAGTGTGGGTGTTGAAAGGTAAAGTATGTGAAAATGAAAAGTAAAGGTTAGATTGTGAGAAATATGGTGTCTGTATGTTGAATGGTGTTTTGAAGCGTGTGATTATTAAAAGTTAAATTGTTTTGAATGGAGAGGTATATGATTAATTGAATAGTAAAGTGGATTGTGTAAATGAAGGAGAGAGAGAGAGAGAGAGATAAAGCACTAGAGGGAGAGAAAGAGAGAGCGCTAGAGGGTGGGAG